CTTGATGTACATAGAGATGGGGCCTTTAGTTCCTCCCCTCTCTCTCTCTCTGCAGATTCTCTGTGTCTCTCTTCAATACTAGTTAATTATTAGCTTGATGCTCCTATTTCTTTATCACTATTATTAATTCTTCTCTGTCTTACTATTCTAATGAAGGAATATTATTTTCCTCAGCTCACAAGCTTCATGATTAGTTGTATATATATAATTCTATATACATTTTTGGCATTAATATACTTAGTAGTCTGAACTTTGAAGCATATAAATAAGCTTCTCCAAATCAGTATGCTCCTCATTTTTCTTAAAAAAGGAAAAAAACACACAGAGTTCAACAGAATATTATCAGGAAAAGAAAACAAAGACAAAAGGAATAGAAAATGAGAAAGCAGGAACATTAAAATGTACATTTAGAGCTTTATTCTTTGCCTTGGTTGTAAGAAATCAATAGACTATAATGAAATTGTATCTACAAAGATAAATTCTCTCTTGCATGGCAAAAGGAAAGTGAAAAATCTAAATATACCCATCATTGCCTTAATTCTGCATTTCTTTCTTCCTTAAGCTACAATAATATGTCATCACAAGACGACTAGACCTCGAGCTATGTTCCCATTAGAGATAGAATGATTAAAGGACCTTCCAAAAAGGTTTCTTAGTGGTAAATGATAGCAAGAACTTCCATTAAAAACCTTTCAAGTTGCTATGATACTAAGGATTATTTTTCTTGAATTATTTTCTTGTTTTATGTATGCAAAGTTACACTAACTGTAAACAACTTTACCAAGATTAAGACTATCTTCTTTTTTGAAAATGTTGGTTCTTTTTATTCTTTAATTAACCTTTTGTTTTTTCTTTTCTTTTCTTTTCTTTTCTTTTCTTCTCTTTTTCCTCTTCTTTTTGTCCTTTTCCTTTTTTCCAGTTGGGATACCTTTCTTGTTAGTTTCACTCCTCCCCTGATCCTCTCTCAAGATCTTAATCCAAGTTATTTGCTTTCTAAAGAGGCTACTTGAATTGATTTAACTAGGTTATAAATTTTGGTTTAGCCGACATAAGATAAACATTCTCTCAGACAGAATAATTGGTAAGATCAAACCTTGGTCCAGGTGTTGTCCCAATTCACCATTTCTCTGCTTTGTCAGCTGCTACAATGAAGTAGACTTTTGCTACAGGGTAACATAAGCCTGCAAGACCATAAAAAAATAAAAAACCATATACCTGTAATCACAAATGTGTTAGTTTTCTCAGAAGAGAAATTTACTAAACCTCAATCCTTCAATGATTTAAAGCAGCACAAACACAATAATTTTACATCTCTTAATGCATGCTTATTACTTACAAATATTAAATTTTTTAAAAAAAAAAAAAAAAAAAAGGAGGCTTGAAATCATATTTGTAAGTGTTTTAATGGAAGTTTCAAGATAATAATCCATGGAAAGAAGAGCTTTTACTTATTCTGAAAATTAAATATCAGACAATAGCCATTTTCAAGACATGAATATCTTTGAACATGATCTACAAATGATTTCAAATCAGGAAAAGGGAAAAGGAAAGCGAAATAAAGAAAAGTACTACAAAAAAGCATTAGCGCACTAATGGTATTCTTTTTAGGGGTCATCAATGCCCAAAAGCCATCAAAATGTACAAACTTTTCAAAGGCAATTCACCTTTTTGCTTTCATGACCCTCTTACTGCCGCTACCCAAGCCAAGCTTCCACACCTCAAAACTTTCTAAGGGAGGCATAGATAGGAGAGGGTTGCCTGCTTTTGCAGAAAAGGAATGGCATGGAGACAAAGTTTCCACACACTGAGCTTTTGCAGTCTTTTGAAAAAGAAAGCTACTGGGGTACTGTTTAAAGGTAACCATCTCCATCTAACTTAAAGCTTTCTTCTTTCTGTTACAAGTGAATGTTGCATGAAAGTAAGGGAATTCTCGGATCTGAAACCCCAATAATCAGTGAATAATTGAATCACATCCTTCTCTCTCTATCATCATCCGAACAACACTGCCTCGGATCCTTCAAAGACTTCTAGGTTTAAAAAAAAATGGAGAATATAAATAGAGAGATGACCGGTCAAAAAGAAGAGTTCATGAAAGTTAACAATATGATGGTGCTTTCCATGATTGCTTGAGGTTCCTGTCTTTAAGCAAATTTAGGAGAGAGTAACTTTTTGTTTAAGTGCTGGGTGGGTGCTCATACAACTTTCATACTAGAACCTCCCCGGCCAAATGAGTCGGTCAAATTTTCCAAGCAACATATGAATGGAGCTTTCTTTTTCTTTAAGGAAAGGAATAAAACTGAAAAGGAAATCTAAGGAGATTTTGAGCAGGAAGTATTATCTGTCCATTATCAGAATAATAGAGAATCGATATGATGTGAAGACAGATTCTTTCCATCCATTTATTTCCTGCATCGTATTCTAATTCTAGTTTTTTTTTTTTTTTTTTTACACCAATAAATAGAACCACTTAAAGAATTATTCTAAGCATTACATAGATCAAGTGCAAGTGAACAGCCAATGGTTGCTTAATATTATTCACAAATCCAATACTGAGACAATCCAAAGTTATCATTTTCTTTTTCTGGTCTTGGAACTGATCTTACATGGTAGGATCCTTCTCAAACCCCATTAAAGCATGAGTTGAAGCACTGACCCCCCCGTGACTTATTTCCAATATCCAGCCAACAAATGACAGCTTAACTGTTTCTCTATTCCAAATAGGCTTCTTGCCCCACCTATAAAAAGTTTGGTCAATTACAAAGATCCACTGAGGATTTCTGCTCAAGACCATGCAGTTAAATACCATGGTTCATATGGCATGTATATGCCATATAAATGAACCATACAGAATCATGCATATCATCCTTTTAAGCATTCATTCTAAAACTTAAACCTCAATAATCAGAAATCAAACCCCTAGAACCAAAGCCCTTCCCCTTGCTAAAAAATTCTCTAGGGAAATATGTTAACTCATCTTGAATACATAGAGCAGGTAAAAATGGCAGCAGGAATGGCTATTGTACAATCGCACTGAAACAATTCAGAAATAAGCAAACTTGAGCTATAAGTGCATACCAATCTTCATGAGGAACAACTTCCCCATTCTCATCATGTCTACTCTATGTTTCTCCTCATGAGCTTGTGTTGTTGCTTGTTATCAATTAATACCTGGATCCCATGCGTGGGGCATCAAACCCATGCTAATAAACAAACAAGGTACGGATGACTTCCAGTAGACTTGCAATAATTTTCAAACCTCTTGTTTTCCAGCTGAAATTGAATTTCCTTTGACATTATACTCCCCCTATACTTGATTAATAGAAAAAAAGAACATATCTTTTTTACAAGTGTCCTGCTCCATGATTCACTTGCAATAATTATGTAGAGAAAAAGATTTTAGAAAAAAGGCCTCAAATACTTAATGTAATGATAACTGATACAAAAAGTTCATACAACCTTGGAAAGTTAATAAAATGTTGATTTGATCTGCTTCCCCCTAAACAAGATTAATATTGGGTAGAATATAAATATCACTAAGCACTAATTACTTGAAAAGATGAAACAAAGAGATATACTATAACCAATCAGTAAAGGACATTATGACTGTTACTATGCTACTAATTTTCCACTAAGTATTTAAAAGAAAAATCTAATTAGCTCATGAGCAGGAGCTTAGCCTAGTTCATAGCTAGCACCCACCAACTCTAAATTCTTGATTCCGAGGTCAAGGTCAAGGCTTTAAGTCTTTGTGAAAGTTGATCATTCGCTCAAAATATGGTCCACCTTCTTGAAATTCATGATAAACCACAAGCATGGTAAAATCCAAAAATTTAGAGGAGGAGGCTATCCTAAGGGAACTATTTGCTCAGACTGTTTCTAGCTCATTTAACACTATGGTCCTAATTACTTCAAGGCAAAATTTTGACCAATACATTACATATCATCACCGTGACCACAAATGAGTGGATGTGCATCTTCAAAAGTAGCATTTGAAGCATAGATTTCGAAGTCGTCGCGCATCCCCAAGTTGTAGCAAATTGCATGCTGCCGACTTTATGCACCATACAAGAGGATGACTAAAAATCTGTTTAATTTGAATAAAAGAAGTTTAAATTTTTTCAGATTTGAAGTTTGATACTTTGAATATTGTGAATAGAAAAATAAATACCAGAAACCTTCCCTTTTATGGTCCGATGCAGCTTGGTTAAACCATCCAGAAAATGTTCATGGGCCAACTCCGAAGCTGCAATTGGGTTTCAATTGAATCTATAGTCATTAGTCTGCAGTACTGGGATCCACATTTGCTCCAATAGAAGAAATAGATCACCATTCTAGACTTGGTCCTTGGACACTATACAGAAGGCCTTAATCTTGGGCCAATAATGCCCAATCTTCATTTTTCTGGAAGTTCTCTAGAAACTGGGCCATAAATAAGCCCAGACCGGACTGCGTGTTGCAAAATTCCTATTTTCCGACCAAAAATTTTGAAATCCGTCGAGATCCAGAGATTAGAGAAGAAATGGATGCGAAACAAGATATGGTTTCCTGATATCTTCGTTCAACACTGGATTCACAGAGTTAGAGGAACTCATTATTGCGAGGAACAGTGAGTTATTCAGACCTTGATCACCCGACTTTCTCTTAATTTTCTCCTTTTTTCTTCCTCCTTTGTTCGGTATTTGATGAATCGGACGCCGATGCGTCGGATTGACGTTATCTCTGGCTTTCAATGTAACCGGCGAGCAGCGTCGCAGATTTTTCGGAAGTTGACGCGGCATCGAAGGCGATGGAGAAGCAGGTGCAGATGATGAAGGACATATCGCATCCGCACGAGTTTAGTCCCTAACCTGTATCATCCAGTCTCCAAAATGGTGGAATATAGCAAGAGGACCAAACATTAAGAAGCCAAAAATGAAGTCCCAATATCAACACCATTGACACGGGTGATGGATGAAGACCTGAATGATCAAGGGGTCTGAATTTTTCGACCTCATATTCAGCTTCTTAATTTTATTTTATTTACATTAATTAAAGAAAATAAAGCAATATTTTAATAATTCATCAGTTTGCATTAGGAAAACAACGTAATTGCTATATTAGATACAAAATACATGTTTCATTAAACCACACCATGGCATTCTGCAAAATGACACAATCAAGCTCTTAATTCTCAATCTTCAATGTAGGTGCACACACATTCATCATCGTGACAAACAAATTCCATTTTTTTTTTTCCCTTCAGGATTCTTCCAGCAAATGAAAGATGCAAACCTTGTCGTCAGTTGTCAGTATTAATGCATACTGTACTGCCCCCAGAGAGGAAGAGATCAAAACTATCGCCTTGGCTCACTCGGATTTTTCCCGTCAAAGAATTCACCCAACATTCGTTCAAGATCCTCTGCTGTGTGCTTGATGTACTTCTGCGGGTTCTTCCCACTCTCAACTAGATTTCTGCAACACATAAAAACCCACATATATGAATCACAATAATTGAGCAAGTTGGAGATTGGAATAAAGCATGTTGCAGCTTCATATCATGCTAGGCCTTCCACTGTATTATATGTTGGACAGTCTGAATAAATGATGCAAGATGGTTTGCATTTGTATGAAGTTTTAGAGGGATGGGAATGCCGTACCCAAAACGTTTTATAAAAGATCGATAGGCAGGCAACAAGACTTCAGCAACGGCTAGCCTAAGGGATTCTCTTAACTCAGTATCTGGAACAGCCCACTGAGATTGTCTTTGATGAAGCTCTTCAAACTGCATATTGAATGTCTTGAACCTGATACATAGAGGACTTCTACATCAACATAAGAAGGTTTAAGAGAATATATAAAACACAAATAAATGTATAGAACTTGTTTTTAAAAGATTAAAAGAGCAAGTCATGGGTGTCTTTGAGGTTCAAGCTAATGTGAACCTGTCTTTAACCAATGCTCTTGAAGCTCCACTACTGCTTCCACTGTCACCACCTACTGAACTACCACCCCCAGATGAAGTCAGCCCTTGTACAGAGAGAGTCTGGAGAATCTGCAGATGAAAAGGCCAATCAGGCAAAAGGTAAGTTACTTTTTGAAACATTAAAAAGAAGCTAAAATGGAGAGCATTAACTCTAGAAAAGCTTATTTCCAAAAGACTATGATGCCAGTCATATATCATGGATGGAAAAAACAACTACCTCAGGTCTCAGGAGCCCAAACCAATCAAGAAATTTCCTCTCCAACAATAGGTGTTGGTGATTATCTTTTTTCTTTTCTTTTTTTTTCAACTGTTACAATTCTGGGGATGGGGGAATTGAATTCAGGTGACCAACCCAGTGACAGGTGACATGCACCAACTGGGTTAAGAAATAAGAACCCAACCTCAACCAAACTGCAGTCATTACCATCTTTTGATTGCTTTTATGTTTTTTTTTTTCAATTTTCTTTTTTCTTTTAATCCGTGGTTTTATGTTGTTTGTTTGTTTAGATTTTATATTTATTCATCCTTTTTCCAATGACAAAGTTGTACCCAACAAAATTTTAGGAATGATACGTACAGTTTTCATTTCTCTTTTCCCCCCTTATATTATAATGAAAATCTGAACTTTTTCTCTGATACTAAAAGTTCAATTATATAAAATTTTAAAGCTGTGAAAAATCAAGGTAGGGTTGTGATCCTCTTTTCTCCATTGCACCCAAATAACACGTGGAAGACCAACGAGAGCTATTGTACAAAAATGAATTCCTGATCTAGTAGCAACATTTCTCGATTAGATTAATAGGCAAATACCTTAGCCCAAGCATTCCTTTTGTATTGATTAGCATGCTGCTGCACAATCCTCCTGTGTATCTGAACCCAATCATCCCCTAAAAGATCTTTGGCTTCAGACCTGAAAACAGAAGAATATGAAGCATCAGTTCTGCATGTGAGGCAAACTCATAAATTTTTAAGAGAAGTCAGAAACATTCAGATACATGACTAACCTTCGAACAGATCTGACCATGTAGTGAATATTGTTCATGAGAAATAAGTGAGTCAAAGCAGGATCTTTATACTGCTTTGATTTTCCATCCAAATTTGTTTGAAGAGCCTGCATAATTCTCATTGTCACAGAGGCTAACTGAGAATTCGTCTCATCTCCTTTTTCAAATTCCTGGAATAGTTGCTTCAGTGTTGATTGGTAGCTGCAGAAATATATTATTGATTTATTGTCAGTTCAACTAGTAGAAGATATATACTGGCATATCATAAATCAAATCACAACTCAATATGGCAAGTGTTGGATGGTTTATCTACAAAAGTCTGTTGCTTCATTGTCATACACTAAAGAGTCTACACAAAGATAAAAATATGGATTATGGCAAAAAACAGAGATAAAAGTATAGAGATCTGAACATACTCAAATAAAAATTTTACGTAGTTAATGACATAGCTCGTCAATGGATGGACAGTTCCATCCAGTACAGCAGTTTTTGTGGCATCCTTTTCAACCGCTTCTTCAAAATCACCAAAGGTATCCTGTGCTGTCTGAGCAAGTCTTTTTGTCAAGCCCAAGGCTGATTCTCTAATTTCAGTGCATGCTTTACCTTTGAAAAGTGCTTCAATCTGCAAAAGAACTCATGTTTAGTTCAAGTTCATCAACCTTTTTTATCATCTTCCTCAGTCCTGTTTTAAGTTACCCTGCAGCACAATTAAGGATTCATAATCATAACACTGACATTACCTCTGAGTGAAGCTCTCTCATTATCTCATACATGTCTAAAAGCACAAATAATTTTTCTGGTGATCTCTTGCTTCTAGCTATTGCTTCTCCAAAACTAAGAAGAACTGAGACACTACTTGCAGTAACTTCAGCAAAACATTGATCACTAAGAGAATCATAGCCTTCAAATATTTGATCACAAACTTTTCTTTCTCCAGCAAAAAGCAATTTAACCTGCCAGAGCACAACTAGTCAGTTGGAAGAACTGATTCACAAACATTTCTAATTATTCCAAAAAGTACTTACAGCAATGCGCATAAAATGAATCCAGTTCCCAATTTTTTCCTCCAAAGCCTCCCACTGCATTTTCTGGACATCATCTTTGCTAAGTTTTGCAACTCCCAATTTTCGAAGACTTTGTTCCAAAACTGAAGATCGGGTCTCTCTGAAAAGAATAAAAATGTAAAAGGGTACATGATGAGAATTTTTTTTTTTTTTTTTGGGTACTAATACATGATAAGAATTAAGAAACCTTGAATAAGTGATAGATTTATTGAAAGGGGAGCCAAACTTAAGCGAAGAAAAAAAAATGTTCTTATCATTCAAAGGAGGCATAGGCATCATAAGAAACCTTGAACAAGTTTACTTGATCTTGAAAGATAAGACAACTTGAGCCTAAATAACTAAAGATTAACACAGAAAAGCTTACCTGTATATTCTTGATAACTGCTGCTGATGACCAGCTTGAACCATTTGCTGTGCTAGATCATGCAGTAGTGGCAGAATGCGTGGTGGTATAAGAGTGGGTGTGGTATAGACAGCATTTTCTAAGTCATTGTTCTGCCGCTCAGAATGGTTAGTAGAAGCAATCTTTGGACCAGAATCAGCCTGGTGTCCTGGTGATCCTGATGACGGGCGCAGTGAGTTTGGAAGACAATCAAAAAGGCGTTCAGGCTCAATAGGCTTGCTGAAATTTCAATTTAAAAAAAATGTTAATTACATATCAAGATTTTAAGAAAAAATATATATTAGTTCATCAGACAATAAAATATCCCTGATGCAAATCATTGAAGAATGCACCACATACACATAATGGTTTGACTATCACAAACATGATCAGTAAATCGGTTGCTAAAATGAAAGCTAATTACTGCAATTGTTTCAAACACAAGCAGTGGCAGTACCATAAAGTTCCTTTGGCAAGGCATTTCTTGAATATATAAACTTGGAAGGTCCAATCAAAGGGCATAACAACTATAATTATTGAGAAAATTAAGATATTTTTCAAAAATTAGAGGGGGCTATGGCCCCATTAACCCCCTGGTTCCACTGCTGCACACAAGGTTTGGCTCATTTTCAAAGATAAACCATAAAAAGTAACAGATTTGCAAGGATAAATGTTAACCATATGAAAAGAAAGACTGAAAATGTTGAAAGTTCATGTCTCATCATAGAAGCATCAGCTGCGGAAGGGGAAACATTACACTACCATTATCAAGAGCAAAATACTAAAAAAGTATTAAAAAAAAAAGGGATAATTAAGGAATACAAACCTGTATGATGCTAATAGCTGCTCAAACTCATCTTCTAGCTTTGAAAGAGCTTTAACAAGTAAACTGTTTGCATTGTCAACAACACCATCACTATTCCTAAAGCTTTTCTTGCTGCTAAAAAAGCGAATGCTGTTTCTTAGCTGTTCTATTGCTCCTAGATAACTTTCTAGGTCATCATGTGGACCCTTAAGTATTTTAGTCTCTGCCTACAAATTGGAACAGTAATAATATCAGAAACTAGTGAACCCTGCACAGGCAATTACAAAGATTAAGCTACAAACAGGAACCTACAAGGTCATATACCCAAAGCCAGAAAGATAAATGAGAGAAAGTATGCTAAAATCAACGACTAGCTACAATTACAATAATTAGTTATAGACAATGTTCTTAGAATCCATGATTCTCAGCTTGTATTAGAAAGAAATTAATAGAATCACAGGCATCTTAGGATCAAACAATGATATCGAGTAGAGAAACATACCAGAAAATAGGTGCAAAGACTGTGAAAACAGAATAATTTGGATCACATAAGACACAATAGTATGTTTTATAATCAACATGACCATGTTTATATGGCATACCAAAAAGTATGCTAAAGACAAGACATGCTTCACGTATACTAGGAGATTCAGTACCAATGAAGGATCAAAACATGATTTGCAGCTAAGGTCTTAATAAGAGTTCATCTAAACAGTAAAAATCAGGCAAAAGGTACAAAATAAAAGTAATCTTTGAAACTAACCTGACGAGAAAGATCAAATTGTGCCAGTATAACCTCTGCAGCCTTCAAAGTCTTATCTATATTCTCATGAGCCTTCCTTATAGAATGTGTTCTAATCTGAAAATCCCACATCAAGTAAAACCAGAAACAGGCAGAGAAGAACCAAAAAAGTCATCAAAATCAGGAAACAGAATAAACCAATCACTTCCCAAAGTCAATAAGTTAATTATAATAACCGATCTAATTAGCTAACAGAAGAAATCCAAAAAACCCAACTACCCCGATCTGATATTTAGCTACCCAGAAATGTTGAACCCATGCAATCAACTGCATCTTCTTCTAGAAGCAAAGTATCAAAGTAAACAAAAACTAGAAAAACTAGTCAATCTCATCTTCTGGGTATCCAACAATGGATTCCATCCTTTCTCTACCAAGTTCCTAGACTGAATCGTGAATCGAAGCAGAAATTAATTGAAACGAGCTAAAAGGGTACCTGAGTAGGACGCATGGCGGTCTCGAGAGCAGAGAGGCGGCTGTCAAAGGAGCCAAGAATGGAGACGACATCGTCGGTGATGGTTTGGCTTTTCTGCAGGGACTCTCGCATCATAGCTGCTCTTTCGCTGAGTGAATCCATACCCACTACTGCTATTCCCATCTTCTTCTTCAGTCAAAACTCAAGATCTGCAGCCTCCTGCGGAATGGATTGGAGGTTCAATTGAAATTTGGTGGAGAAGAAAAAGGGTTAAGGTGGCAGTTTGACGTTTCTTCGACTGCAGGCAGACACGTATAATTTGTCGTCGTTTTGACAGGGTGTCCTTCACTCTCTAATGTCGTTTTCAAATTTCATCATTTTTTCATTTTTTTTATTTTTTATTTTTATAAAAATAATAATTAAAAAATTAATATGAATTAAATGTTAATAATTAATACCAGATTTAGGTAAACAATCCACCCACATTTAAGGTGCGCAATGATCAGACCACTTTTAGTGGAATTCGCGACGCCAGGCTCTTCTCTCTTTCTTATTATACATACTAATATATTACTCTTCTTAATAAAATGAGAATTAAGATGAAAAGACACCTCATCGGGCAAAATCTTCATAGATTATATCTACTCATAATATAAATTTTTGAAATTTAGTTTATGAGAGTTAAAAGACAATTCTATAAAAAAAAAAAAAAACTTAAATTTTGAGTAGAAAATTAAAGTTGTAAATAACCATTTATCATAAGGTTTGTATTATCAAATTATGGTTAAGAAAAAGAATATAAAATAAAGAATTATTTATACATAAATAACACTACCCTTCTTAATAAAAAATAATTTTTAAGAAGAAGAATACAATACTATTACTATAATATGTAAATAAAAAGAATTATTTTCAAAATAAATTAATTTTTATTGCTTAGGGAAATTAATTTTCAAATATTTGAATTTCTTTTTTCTATTTTAAATTTTGAACTTTAAAAGAAATTGAAATTTAAACTTCTTATCCTACCTTACAACTGCAATGTGGACCTGAATATATTGACAATGGGTTGAATAATTCATATTATATTTAAGTTTTAATGGTTGTTTTTTATGGATGGATTTGGGATCATGACTCGATCACTATCATCTCTAAAGTCAAGCTAAAATGTTTTTGATATAGGGCTCCTCATCAAGACTAATTTTAAATATTACTTTAAACTATGAAGGAATAAAATGTAATCTTAATTTATGAGAGCTACTTTTTTTGTTGGAAAATTACACATACATACTTTAAAGTTACACACTAACGGTTTTCGTTTGTTTATTGTTAAAATTGATAACTTCTATTATTTGTGCTGTTAAAATTAATGGATTTCATTATTTATACCGTTAAAACTAATGGTTTTCATTAATTCTAATAGCATACTAACGAATATAGTTGTGTAATTTTTGAAATGTGTATGTATCAATGTCTTTTTTTGTTTCAAAAACAAAAAAAAAAGAGAGAGAGAGTTCTATTAAGAACCAATGGGGCAACATATGTTTTATGATTAAAATTGAAACAGTATGCACATAAATAGTAAAATACTAAACTAGATTTATTGCCATCATATTTTCATTTCATTCTTGACTAAATCAAGATTTTATTTTAGTTTAACATAACACAACAAACAAAAGTTTTTTTTTTTCTCTCTCTACTCTCCTCTTCTTCTCTCTAGAGCCTATTTTTTAGTATGTCCACTCCTTTGACAAACTTAAGAAAGGTTGATGAGGAGACTCCTTTGCTTTCCTTTCCACTCCCTTTTCCTTGACGCATGTCTTCTTTTTGGCTTCAGCATTCTTTGAATCTAGATACATGTAGTTTAAATATATTAGATGAGGAGATAATAAATATAAAATATAGGGGATAAATGAAATCTACACAATTCTCATGCATTCTTAAATCCTAAAAGGAAAAGAAGAAGATGATGGGATTCATGGGAACATACAGTAACAAAACAATGAAGCATAATTATGGATTGTAAAAAATTGAATTTCTAAGAATTTAATTGAAGGATCTTGATTGGTGCACATCCGGATCCAACATTCGGGTGTGCACCCCCACATAAAAAAAAAAAATTAGACCGAGTGGTGATGGGCTTTTTTTTTTTTCATGGGGAGTGTGCACACCCAGGTGTTAGATCCAGGCGTGCACACATCATTTTCCTTAATTTAAACACTCAAAATTTTAATATAGAACAAATTAACAAGTTAAATTATTCTTTCTATTCTCTCTCATTTTCTATAAGATGCAAACTACTAGTTAGTTGCTAATACTATGTAAATATATATATATATATATAATGACTCATTCAATAAATACATGGTTAAAACTATGCCAATTAATGCATGAATATGACACTAATATGACTTTTTAATTTAAAATAATGATTGATATATCTTTTGATTCAATATACCTGTCAACATCTATAAGTTCAATTATTAAATTTTACAAGTGAAAATTTTCTTATCATAAATTCAAATTTAAAAATAATAATTTCTTAATAAGGGTATTGAATAAAAAATTATACTAATCATTATCATTTAATTTATTCTTTTAAATTAGTTTCTTTCACCAACCTTCTTCTTTAAATTGATTGTAACT